TCCTTGATGAACCCGACCGCTAAAAGCTTCGATATCTCCTCGCCGATGGTCCTACGTTTCCCCTCATCGAAGCGACGTAGGCGTTGCTTCACCGGATTGGAGCCTGGGTGGATCTTCAAGGTTTGCTCGGTGACTTCCTTCAGAATGCCCGGCATATCCGAGGGTTTCCATGCAAAGATGTCTCTGTTGGCGCGGAGGAAGCTGATGAGCACGCTGGTGCCAATGCACACCACTTTGCCCTTGGGGCTGCTGGGGTCCATGAGGACCTCCCTAGCGCCCTCCACTGGCTCAAAAGACCTGGCCAACCGCTTGGGGTCGGGTGCTTCCTCGGCAACCTCCTTCCTAATGGCCATGAGCTCTTTGGAGGCAACGATCACCGCGGCGTGATCACAGCACTCGACCTCACACTCATAGGTGCACTGGAAGGAGGTACCGATGGTGATGACCTCGCCTGGGTCCGACATCTTTAGCTTTATGTAGTTGTAGTTGGGGATGACCATGAACTTCGCATAGCACGGTCATCCTAGGATGGCGTGGTAGGTTCCGTGGAACCCAACTACTTCGAGGGTGAGGGTCTCCGTCCTATAGTTGGATGGCCCCCCGAAGGTGATGGGCAGATTGATCTACCCAAGTGGCATGGCCTGCTTTCCAAGCACAATGCCATGGAAAGTTGCTTCAGTGGGTTGGATGCGTGCTTGGTCGATGCCCATAGCATCGAGTGTCTCGGTATACATGATGTTGAGGCCGCTGCCTCCATCCATCAGTACCTTAGTGAGCCACTTTGTGCCGATAATCGGGTCAACCACGAGCGGGTATCTCCCCGGTTGCGGGACACTCTCCGGGTAGTTGGTCCGATCGAAGGAGGGTAGGCGTGGCTGGCTCGACCGTATAGACCTCGCGGGGCGCGAGCTTCCGACGGCGCTTGGAGTCATAGGCTGCCGACCCTCCGAAGATCATGAGGTAGCAATCCAGCGTCGGAAAGCCACCGTCCTTCCCCTCGGCACCGTTCGTGGTCGGGTTGGGGTCCTTCCCGTGCTCCCCTTTGTTGGAGCCTCTAGACAAGAACCGCTTCATGAGGTCACGGTCCTTGTATAGATGCTTGATGGGGAAGGCATGATTCGGGCATGGCCCCTCGAGCAGCTTCTTGAAGTGGTTCAGAGTGCCCTCCGCGGGCTTCCTACCACCCCTACGGTCGGCGGTGGCCACGAGCGAGCCCTCGTGCCACTGCTTGTTCTTTGTCTTGACAGGACGGTTGGAGGTGCCTTCGCCGGCGTCCTCATGCCGCTTCGCCTTGCCCTTGAGGCGGTCGAAGATCGCTCCGACCGCCTCCTCGCCCGAGGCGTGGCTGGTGGTGATGTCAAGGAGCTCCTTGGTGGTTCGTGGGCCCTTACATCCTAGCTTGTGAATTAGGGACTCGTAGGTGGTCCCAGACAGGAAAGCTCCTATAATGCTAACGTCGGCAACATTAGGCAGCTCATTGCACTGCCGGGAGAAGCACCGGATGTACCCATGGAGGGTTTCTCCAGCCTTCTATCGGCAGTTCTTGAGATCCCATGGGTTCCCAGGGCGCTTGTACGTGCCCTAGAAGGTCCCCACGAAGATCTCTTTTAGGTTCGCCCAACTTTGGATTCTATTGGGCGGAAGGTGCTCCAACCATGTTCACGCCGAATCAGCCAGGAACAATGGAAGGTTGCAGATAATGAAATCATCATTATCCGCTCAATTGGCTTGGCTAGCAAGCCGATAATCCTCGAGCCATAGTCCAGGGTTCGTTTCCCTAGAGTACTTCGGGATGTTGGTTGGTGGTCGGTACCTTGGCGGGAAGGCGGCATAGAGGATGTGTCAGCCGAAGGCCTGAGGCCCCGGTAGGCCAGGGCTCAGGCTTCGGTCCTCGTCGCTGTTGTAGCGTCCACCACGACGAGGGTGATAGCCAAGGCTAGCTCGCTCTCTTGGATCATCATGGGCATGTCTACGGGCATCGAGGGTGTTGCGTGCGCCATGGTTGCGACCGAGACGCTCAAGCACCGGGACTGCGGTGCGCTGCCTGCCGCCTTGTGGTGCTTGGTGGACTGACGTGTCCTTGTTGGGTTGCTCTGAGGGCGTGCACTGGCTGGCATCGAGCTCGCATTATCGAGACAGCGAGCTCTTGGCCTGCTGCGATGCCACACGCTCGAGCAGTGTGCGAATTTCACAGTGGGCCCAACGTTCCTCGGGCGTCACGGGCCCTGGAAGCCCATGGAGCAAGGCCACCACAGCAACGATGTTCTGGCTTGTCCGGGTGAAGTGTGGGAGGGCTTCATCATCCGCGATGATCCTCCAGTTCATGTCACGGGCCATGGCGCATGCACGCCCACCGTCTCCGTGGTGCTCGATCTCTCGATCGAGCTCCGCGTGTTCCAGCTTGAGCTAGAGTCACGCTTCCTCGAGCTCTTAGTGTCGGGTCTTCAGCTACTCCACCCGCATGCGAGGCGGGGCCGCTGTCTCCCTCTCGACCTCATCGTCGAGGTCGTTCATCGGGGTAGCCTCCTCTTTGTGGATGCTTTTGACGTGTCCCTCGGGGGTACCTACCATGAGACACGCATGAGAGGGGTGATGACTCCCCCTGCTGGAGTCAGAGCCAGAGGGCGGCTCAATTCTCCCATGAGGTGGTCGTGGAAAGACTCCATGACATATTCGGTCATTCCTACGAACCCATCATTCATGGGGGATGAAGGTGCGCGTTGCGCCATAGGGTGGTCATCGGTCTCTGCGGCGTTGCGGTGACCGAATGGAAATGCTATCGGGGCGCTCTGGATGAGGTATTTTGGAGAGAGCGGCTCTCCTCCGGCAAGCTACGCCATGACGTTGGCGAACGAAAAGGTGAGGCGGCGCAGGTCCTCCTAGGACGGTCGGGTCCCAGGAAGACGCCAAGCTGGCGCTCAAGCCTCCCGTGGTCAAAGTTGAGGAGTTGGTTGTTTCCGGGGGCACGGGCCTCTGGCGCGTGCAGCTGTAGCTCCTCAAGCGCCTCAGTGATTGCATCAAGGCCGATGGAGTGGAGAGGTCGGATGGCGGCGGGAGCCATTGCCAACTCTCCCTCCGCCCTAACGATGAAGTCCAGGTCCCTGAAGCGCACGTGCGCGCCCGAGACCCAGCTGAGGTTGTGATTAGCCATCCGAGGCCTGGTGTTGATGTTGAGACGCGCAAAAGTCCCCTACCTGGCGCGCCAATTGTCGGTGTTTCGAGTTGCCACCGACTAGTAAATTTGTATTATTGCGCGTCTGGCCCGGATGGTGTGCTAAGAGGACACGAGGTTTATACTGGTTTGGGCAGAAAGTCCCTACGTCTAGTTCGTTGCTGATGCTTGTGTTACTTACACTGAGAGTTCGTAGTAGGGGTTACAAACGGTCGAGAGAGGGACAGGTCCCAAGTCTCTGGTGGTGTGTTGCGATGGGTTCCGATTGGTTCGCTGTGCGATACTTATGTGTTCGGATGTGCTCGGATTGAGAGTCCGGCGTGTGATGCCCTTAACGAGACGCCCTGCTTTCCCTTTTATAGGCCAAGAGAAAGCAGGGGTTACAGCGAAGGGAAGAGAAGAAAATGAGAAGGAGAAGAAGTCCTCCAGGATCGCCGGGTCCTTCTTTTCCTTTACGGGTCTCTTGCCGACCCTGTAGACGTCAATAGGGACAGCTCCACGTCGCGGCCCTGTCCGTCCCTAGCGCCATGTGCGGGCGTCGTCTCCCGGTCGTGGCGCTTTACTCCGTCCTAGCGGACGTCGCGGTGAACTGACGCGTCCGTCAATGTTCGTATGAGGGTTAGGCATAACAGTACCTTTACGCCCGACGCTGTTCCTAATGTGAGTCCCCAAGTATGGCCCGTCACGGCCACGGGTTATATCGGGACGTGCCGGACGCTTCCCTAGTGTCAGAGCTTTGACCCAGGCCCATACGCTTAGACCTGGAGTGGTTGGCGGTGGTATGGGTCTCCATCGGGTGAGACGGAGCCTGCAGCCTCGGTGTCGGCCGAGGCGGAGCTAACCCTCAGGGGTCGGGCATGGCGGAGCCAACACCTGGGGGGTCGGGCGAGGCGGGGCCTACGATCTTGGTGTTGGCCGATGCGGAGCCAACCCTCGGGGGTCGGGGGAGGCAGAGCCCGCGGCCTCGGTGTCGGGCAAGGTGGAGCCGCTCTCAGGGGTCAGGCGAGGCGGAGCTTGCGTACCTGGGGGTCGGCAAGAGCTGTAGTCGTGCTCTTGACCGCTTGGAGATCAACGTTGATGGTTATTAGCTCCTCCTCTTCGGAATCCCTAGTATTGGTCCCCGACAAGTATCCAATGTAACAGGATAGCTTTCAGTACACTAGGGAGGGTCCGAGCGTCCTTATATATCTCTTGTGACCATTTAGGGCGCCGTTAAGGCGTGTTGTATTGAACTTTTCCTCTATCTTAATACAAAGACGCGCAAACCTTTTACGTGATCAAGAAAAAAAAATTCATTCTGTGTTGAACTATCTGAAAAATAATTTCATATATAAATTCGGTCTTTTAGAGACATGGTCACATTTCATCCATCAATGTATATAAGTTGCTATTCTTGAAGAAGGTCTCCAAAAAATTAAATTTTGAAATTTATTTTCTCTTACAATGTACTGTCAATCTATTGCAAAACCAACATCCATGTCATCTTAAAAATTATTTGAATACGAATCCATTGATAGTAAGTTTTGTACACTAAACACATACTATATAATTTGATTAGTTACTGCAGGTTAAAAGTTGCAAAATTGGACCTTTCATACACTAAATAAACTTGTTTTCATTGATAAATAAAAAGAAAAATTTTCAGCCACTTATTATCTCTCCGACACAAATTACTGTATGTAAACCCCTTTTCTGCTGTGCCCTCCAACACACAAGCAACAAGTCACACCACCATTCAATACCGCTGGCTCCGTGTATATAAAGAGACAGCAACACTTCACCCCCTCAAGGCCTCGACGACCCACCTGCACCTTCTTCCTCAATCCTGATGGAGAACTCAGGCGAAGACCTCTCCTCCACAGCCAGCCACTCCTTCTCCGGCGACGGCGGCAGCGCCTCCTCCGAGGAGAGCGGCTGGACGTCCTACATCGACTACTTCATGGAGACGCAGCAGCAGCAGCGACGCAAGGAGGAGGTGAGCCGCCGTGCTGGTGATCCCTCCACTGACGATGCTGGAGCTGGACGACGATGCAGTTCTACATCGGAGTGCAGCAGTGATACTGGAGTAGGAGCCTCCACATGGCTGCCGGTGCTTGCCGAACCGTCGGTGGTGTCGAGAAGGTTGAGCCTCAGGGAGGGCTGGAGGAGGAAGAAGGTCATGTATGATGAGTCCTTGGAGGATACTGCCACGTCTCCTATCAGTAGCCCTAAGGTCAGAGCATACTTACAAGCTTATTATTACGTGTTACACAACAGATCTCTCTCTCTCTCTCTCTCTCTCTCTCTGTGTTTGTGTTTGTGTGTGTGTGTGTGTTTATTTTGCACATGTAAAATTTGGATAGTTTTGGTTTGTTGGGAGATTTAGTTCAATTTCCTGGTGGAAGAAGTAAATTTTATTGTATTGTTTCAGTTGATTGAGTTGACCAGGGATTCAGATGTCACCCACCACCAGAAGAAAGTAAATTCCTGTGATGAGATTTCGCGTTCTAAGGTGACCCCAACAAAAATTCTCAACTTTTTTTTTTGCCATTGCTCTTTTTCTCTTTTTTTCCCCTTTTGCGTGCAAGTAGTCTGATCAGAGATATATGTCTGTCTAAGCCTGGTAATCGAATACTACTTAAGTTAATTGCAGCATGTTTTATAGTTTTCAATTTATTTTGGAGGTTTCAGACTGCAGTGTTCACACTGAGTTGATAGAATAGAGACTCATCATTTGTTTATTTAACGAGATTCATCATTAGCTTTTATATAGTTTGACCTCCAGCAGGGCACATAAAAGAGCAATTTTTATTAAAAAAAAATAATCACACTTTGATATACATTCTCCTGTATTTACAGCGCAAGAGTACATGCAGTGATGTAAATGGGGCAAACACAACAATAGACACATCAATCAAGGAAGATAAGTGCATATGATAACAATGAGCTGATGAGGAAGAAGGGCCTCTGCTTGGTCCCTATGTCTGCTTTCCACGTATAGCTGATGCCAATAAATTCATTGGTTGCTGGCTGATTGCATAAGTTAGCACCAACACCCTATACACATGCATACATGCATGTACACATTAGTTAGCACATATGAGAAAAGGTAGAGAGTCTTGTGAAGGCGTGGGGGCTGTAGTAGGTACATTTCTTTTGTGAAGATTAGCTATTCAGTTCCTGTTTATGAAAAGGGTACAAACTTGACATATGAGAAGGTACAAACTGTGGGTTTGATGTTAGGTGAGACATCACAACGCTATGTTAGATATGGGGTCTATTCCATCTTGTGAAGATTAGTTATTCTGTTCATGTATGAGCTAGTTGTTGATTTATCTGTTCCTTCCTCATTTTAGTTTCATCATGAATTCATGACCAGGATATACAATTGAAAGTGCATAACACGAAAACGACATGGTATCAGGATATGTTTTAAATGGAAATGGCTTGATTGCATGAAAACGAAAGGCATCCAAAATCCACGTATATATAGAAGCTGTGCACGCATGGGGGCACGCGCATTTGTCGGGAAAAAATTTCCCATCATTTTCAGGTGAAGGTGGACCTAGCTCGGTGTCAAAACCAAGCAAAGTAAATCGAGACATAGAAGTTAAAGACAAATTGTATATAAAGGTGTAGGTTGAAAAGGTAAAAAACAAACTTAGTGAGATTTGACGCAATTCAATCTCTTGTGGATCTTTTAGTTAAAAAATTATCTCCCCACATGATTGAGTACCCGTTGAAATACAGAGTGCCCACGTTTGAGTTGAATTGGTCGGTACATGCAACTTAGTATGGTACTATGGTAGTATCAAGGCGTGAGGGCCGGGGGTGTTGAAATATAAAGTGAATTGCCCATCTTTCCTATTAGCTTAAGTTTTTTTAGGTCCGTGCATACAACTCAATACTACCAAAATGTATATATATAGGTGATCCTTAAAAGTAACAGTGCTTAAGCAAAAAGTTCAATTTGTTGCTGGAATACCGACTACTAATTCATTCTCATGATAAAGCCATATGCCAAACATACTCTTCATTAAGTGGGTGTGTTGGATGAGGGATTGTTCTGAAGTTCTCATATTTTGTAAAGTTCAAACTACTTATAGGATTCAATTTAAATTTGACTGCGGCAGGAGTTAAATCCAAAAATTTTCTCCATCTAAAAGACATATCTAGAAGTTTGAACTGAGTTAAATCCGAATGTACGTAGCAGGTAACGCACTGAAAAATTCCTAGTCAACGAGGACACTAGTCCGTTTTTGTTCAGTTTCTTAACATAGCGAGGTCATAATGCAGTTTTTCTCTCTCTAGCTAATTCATTGACTTGCAAAACTTATGTTTTGCCCATAATGAATTGTGGATTGGGACTTCTCCCTGCTTAGGTTGGCTCCAACATATATAAGAACGAAATATGCTGAAAGTACAGGGTTTAGCTTGAGCAAGAGTATGAAATGAACTTTTATTGGAGGTGTTGCAAATCACCAGAAAAATGTCTGCCGCGCTGATAACATGAATGAATGAAAGTGATTTCAGAATGTCTTTGCATTAACAAGATTCTTGGAGTAGCCTTTTTTTCTGCGAGACATGCTCAGCTAGGTAGTAGCTCGTACCAGGAGTAGAACAGCTAGAGCCATGTGCCGCAACAGGTAGGCAGTTGAGAACAACAAGGTCGGTACTGTGTCAGTTGGTCCTTTTTCAGACTTCTTTTCCTATAGAAACAAAGTACATTTACTATTGGGGCAATACCCTCAAAATTACAAATTTTTTCACTCTCTCTCCGTCACATCAATTTTTAGCCATTTACATAGAGTATTAAATGTAGGTAAAAAAATAACTAATTACACAGTTTAGTTGGAAATCACGAGATGAATCTTTTGAGCTTAGTTGGTCCACGATTGAACAATATTTACCAAATAAGACGAAAGTGCTACTATTCATCGGTTTGAAATTTTTTTCAATCTAAACAAGGCCTGGGCTATTGAATTCCATTCTTGACTTGAATCTACCGGCAAACACAGCCACAAACATTTCTGACTATGCATATTTTTTTCAACTCTGCCAAACTTCGTTCACTAGCTGATTAATTTGACTAGGTGCACTTATATAAACAAAACATGATTTCAAATTAAGAAAGGTACAAGGTGTGTTCAATTTTATACAATTAAAACCTGCACATATACTCCCTTCACTCAACAATATAAATAGTTGATGTTAGGACAAAGCAAATGAACGATCGATTAGTTTTTATGGAGTAGTTACTTTTCTTGTCCTAACGTCAACTAGTATTGTGAGGGAGCAAGTCAATAAATAGTATATATCTCTGAGGAAATAAAGATATGTGCATAGCTTTATTTTTTTTATATAGGATTCGGAGTATATGCAAAAATAAGGGTGCATGTAACATGCATATAATTCTTGTTTTTGTATGGTAAAGGAGTGTATAGATTGTTGCTTAGAAGCGAGATTGAGAAAATGAACCACATCCTCCCCCGACTAAGATAGAAATTAATTTCTTTAGAGTTGGTGTAAGTCAATTGAAAAGCTACCCTAGACCACATGCATGTTAAGCACTCAAGTATGATAGGGGATATTCAGTAGACTATGATTTCTCTACGATTTATGATATATGGTGTAAGGAAAATGGACCATTGGTCTATTTACTTTGGATTTTGGTATTTGATGATCAACACAACCAAATTGAACTAATGAAGTTGCAAGTGATTGTTTTGTAGTTCAATAGGATGCAAGACGTGACTTGGACGAAGACAACGTGATGATCCGATGATCAACACCATAAGCAAGACCCTAGAAGCACAAGAGAAGACCCAAGATATCAAGCAAAGTCCAAGCATGAAGATAGGAACCAAGCCGTACATAAGATCGTAAAAGAAACGAGCTCACAGAAGTGACCGGACGTTGGACCAGACACTGGTAGCACAGTGACCGGACGCCCAATCAAGAGGCTCGGCAGAAGCAGTGACCGGACGCTGGCGGCAGATCGACCAGACGCAAGACAACAGAGTCCGGTCGAGTACAGAGAGGTTTTAGAGCGGTGAAAATGCGACCGGACGCGTATGGTGGCATGTGACCGAACGCTGGCAGCGTCCGATCAGTGGATCGCGGCTCCAACGGTCGGGGCGACCGGACGCGTCCGGTCAGGACGTGATTAGCGTCCGGTCAGTAGCAGAAAAGCGGGATTTCGTCCCCAACGGCTACTTTCTCAGTGGGGCTTATAAATACAACCCCCAACCGGCAAAATGAGGGTAGTGGAGCTGAAGAAACATACCAAGGGTGTTGATACACCATTTTAGTGATCTCCACTTAGCGTAGGTGCTTTGTGAAGTGCTTAGGTTGATTAGACCACCGCTTATGTGCTTGCTCTAGGTTTAGGCCTAGTGTTTAGTAAGGTTTGTATACCTCTTACCACTCGGTGCTTGCGCGCACCATTGTTGTACATCGGAGGGGCTTGTATTCTTGCGAGATCACACCAACCGCGTTTGTGGTGTGGCTGCCACCGTGTACCGGAGAGAACAAGGCCCACGGCGTTTCGGCCGGAAGCTTGATAGTGAAGATGGAGGGGAGTATCCGGGAGAGGCTTGCCGGAAGGCACGTCGGAGACCCACTTGCACGTGGGGAAGGCCCGAGGCTATCCACGGAGTTACTCGACCGGGAGCTTGGCCCTTGCGGGGGATTCCTTGCGAGGGGCTCCAACGAGGATTATGGGGAAGCTTGCGCGCTTCTCGACACCTCGGTAAAAATACCAGAGTCGTCGACGGGAGTTTGCATATCTCTACCTTGCTCTTTAGCTTCCACATTTACATTGATTGTATTACTCCTTTTACGGTAGAGATAGCAACACACTAGCAAAACCGTAGTTGCACATTTAGATAGTTTATCTTTTGCATAGATTTTGCTAAGGTTAGAAAAAGAGGCCATAGTTTAGAGTTAGAATTTTAAGTTGCCTAATTCACCCCCCTCTTAGGCGTCATGGTCCCCTTCAATTGGTATCAGAGCCGGTTGGCTCAATTTAGACATTTGGCTTAACCGTCGTTGGGCCTATGCTATTTAGAGTGGTTGGGATGAATACCTCTAGGCTTCCGCACTTTGACGGCACTTATTTCCCTTATTATAAGGCTAGAATGGCTTGCTACCTTGAGGTGGTTGATTTGGGAGTTTGGAGAGTCACTCGTGATGGGATGAAACCCATTAAAAATCCCGATAAACCCATAAAGAGTGAAGAAACGGAAATACATTTCAATGCTAGAGCTAAGAATTGCTTGTTTGAATTTTTTAGCATGGATGTGTTTAACCAAGTGTTCACTTTAAATACGGCACATGAAATTTGGTTAAAACTCTAAGAGCGCCATGACGGTACATCTAATGTCCGTGAGCAAAAACATTGTCTAGCTAAGCAAAATTATGATTCCTTTACAATGAATGATGATGAGCTTGTTCGTGATATGTATTCTCGTTTGAATCTAATTATCAATGAGCTCCATTCAATAGGATTAACAAAGCTAGATGATGTGGACATCATGAGGAAGATCATCTCTGTGCTACCACAAAAGAAATATGCAAGCATCATCACCATCCTTCACAACATAGAGAACTTGAGCACCATGACCCCGGACATAGTCATTGGCGAGATAGTGGCATTTGAAATGTCACGTAAGATGGGTCAAGGCGAAGCCTCTTCATCAAGGAAAGGCAAAGCTCTCGCATGTAGCGAGAAAAAGAAGATGAAGGGCAAGCAAGTTGAGACAAGCTCAAGCTCAAGCTCCTCAAGTGAAGATGAAGAAGAAGATGAGGATGATGATGATGATGACAAAGATTCAAGTGATGATGATCAATCTTCCTCCTCCACCTCTAACCTTGATGAAGAATCAATCAAACTAATCAACAAGGTGGAGAAGATGATCCAAAGGCTCAATGTCAAG